CATGGTATAACAACTTGCTTCCCTCAGTGCAAACTCCCATACCTGTCTGCTGGTTTCTTTTGTTACGCCCCATCAACGCATCCGGTTTTAGGTAGCTGAGTGTAGGATTTTCATCAATCCATTTCTTCAAAGCCTGTAAAGTAAGACACCCGTTAGTAACCCTTTCCAAACCCTTGGTCGCAGAAAGGGATGCAAGGAGCCCCTGGCGTGTGCAATAAGCGCAGCCCAGGCAGGCTACTACACTACCCCATATTTATTTTCTAGTTGCCCCTTTTAGTAGTGTTGGAGAGAGAAGGTCTTACGGACACTAGCGCTCTTGTGGTAACAAAGAGAAGAGTGCGGGTCTCTGGCTTTAGGCGGTATTCTTCATTCAGGATGAAGGTGAGCTCCTCCAGTTTGGGATTCTCATTCAGCTCATCTACTGCGGCCTCTCTCAGTTCCTGTTGTTTAGCTGGAAGAAAACGTTGACCACCTCAGATTGCAGTTAGCATCATCCATTCCAGCAAACAGCAAGCTGACCCACATCTAGCAGCCAAATGTCAAGTGACTTTCCCTTGCCCTTAACGTTCTTTAAAAATTCTCAACTATTCCTCTTAAAAAGAAAGAAAAAAGTTTTATATGTGTAACCGTGTCCCTATGGAGCTATTTCTGAATCACTTGCATTTTAAAGCTGAAATCACAGCAGCATACCCCTGAGCAGGCATCTAAACCAGAACATTGGTTTAAAAACAACCCAGCTATTTTAAAGACATATTGATTCTGCTGGCTCTTGATTGACTGAGGGCTCAACGTGTGGCCAGCCAGGCTGTGAATCTACAATGCCCTAGCTTGCCATGTAGACAAACCCCAAAGTTATGATCCTTCCATTGGCTCCGTACAGGCAGACCCTGTATCCATGTGAATCCCCACAGACCTCAACGGGAATTACTCTGCACAACCAGTTGCCGGAGCAGAGCCTAATTTAGTACACTGGATTTCTTAATCAGCTGTTCTCCAAATGCAGGGCTACCCTGGGGCATTAAACCACAGCTCATGAAGGGGGTTAGCATCACAGCCCCTTGAGGCATTGCTGTAATACTTGCAGGAGTGCCTGGGTAGCATGAGCCCAAGTAGCACGAGCCCAAGTAGCACAGAGCGCAGCATGTGCCCTTTCCCCAGCTGTGTCCTACCCTTGCTCCTCCCTCTGAAGTTGCTAGCACTCATGATTCCCTCCCCTTTTGCCAGGCTCCCAGTGCTCATGTAAAACACAGCAGGAGAGAGAGTCTTTATCTGCTAGCCACTGACCCACATAAGAGAATAAGAGTCTATAACAACTGACAGTGAAGGTTACTACTTCTTTAGCTCATGGTTTTAGCACTGAAGGTCCCAAGTTCAGCCCCCACTGATGAGCCAGGACACTTGTCCACTGGGAGCACAGGGAAAGTCTCACTGACTTTCCATTAACTTTAAAGTCTTTTCCTGGGCTGGAAAACAGATGGCTACTCAAAGCTGGTTTCATGCAAACAACTGGCTTGGAAGGTCTGGACCCCAACTGTTACAGCCTCTAAACATGGATAGAAGTAAGAGGAGAAGCAAGTTGGACCACCTTAAACAATTCCTCTCCCCCTGCCTGGTACTTGCACCTTTCAGATGGGCTGCATGAAGTACCTTCAAAGTTCGCTGTTAACTGTTGATCTATCTCATCAAACCCTCCACTTCTAAGGTCATTGAAAAATTCAGTCAAGTAGGCCAACGCATCCTGAGTCCGTGCATCTTCATTGATGATGAGGGCATCATTGTATTTCTGTTTAGAGAGATGAATATATTTTTTAAGCACTCATTTCTCAGGCCAAATGCTTATCAGTAATGGGGGGGGGGGAGAACCCAGTGAATTTTACTAAGATAAGCTTCTGCATTTGAAATACTTGTTACTTCTACAGTAGCACAGGAAAACAGTGATTGCAAGCAGTATCCTCTGAACAGTATAATTTTTAGTAAGCATCCAAGACACAGCTCAGATGTGGGGTGCTAAAAATGCATCTGCTCCTTTCAAACAAGTATACATTTGCACTCTCCACTAAACTAGACTGAGAAAAATACACTAATTTATTTTCCAATCTGAATTTCTGAAGCCTGATTCCAATCTCAAACTGATTATTCAAACCTCTGTTTGAATGTAAGCCAGATAGGAATCGAGGCCCTGATATAGCCACAAATACTGGCCGTGATCCTACAGGATTTACACGCGTTTCAGGGTTGAGTTCAATGCACTCATGGAGGTGCTTAAAGTCCAGCACTGACATAATGCCACTGTTAGTAATCACCCGTAATTTATATTCTTATGGCTCAAGGGAGGTTTATTTTCAAAATGTTTGATGTTTAATTTCTGCAGTATTCTAAAGCCCTTAAGAAAACAAAACTATTTGATCATTTCACGTTACATTTATTAGAATGCGTTCCACCCATTTGACCCATAGAGCTTAATAGAACATTGAAAACTGTTTTGTATGAACGAAACACAAAATAAATGTCATCTTTCTTCTAAAATGTTACTATTGCCAGTTCCCAAGTGCCACAGGCAATTAGCCACAGGTTTCCCCAGTGCGCTCCAGTCCTTTACACATTACCCTGGAGCACAAAGAATTCAATCAAGATCTTGAATCAGATCAGATTCTGGTGTAAATTGATATAGTTCTTTGGCTTTAGTAAAAACAACGAGAGTCCTTGTGGCATCTTAGAGACTAACATTTATTTGGGCATAAGCTTTCGTGGGCTAGAACCTGCAATCTGGCTCAAGGTCTTTTGCATTCCTTCTGCAGTAAAGCCAGTGGAGCTATGCCAATCTGTACTGCTGAGAGTCTGGCCCATTGCATCATCCCATAATTACTACAAAGATAAGAGCACCCAGAAATCTGAGAACTATGTAGGGTCCTAGTCAACTTCCAATTGGAGGCACCTGCACTGCTGGGAACATGACTGATCCCTCTGTACATGCAACAGGAGAGGGCATTCACTTACCCGTAAGTGTTCAGTATAAATAAAGAGAGCTCTACAAATCCTCCTCTCTTCCTCCTTGTCCGGCAGTTGCAACATTCTGCACTTCTTCTGAGTGTCAACGATCCACTGTTCATAGCATTGCGTTCCGAAACGTTTACTCTTAATGTGGGACAACGCATCTGGTGTGGAAAGAGGCAGCAAGCATCACTACATCTTACTGAGTAGCTAACTAAAACAGCCAGAACGAGATACAGGGCACTCTACAGAAATAGTAAAAGAACATAAAGGTTGTGAAGCATTCAAAAGTTAGGAAATGCCAGAATTAAACCTTTGCAACATTAATTCAGCCCCTTTGTGTTTATGCATTGTGTCACTGGCTTTAATTATATCATCACATCCTATTTTCTCCACAGGACCCTTGCCTCATTCAATGCACAGGATGGATAGTGTTCACGGAAGGAACAGCTAGTCAGTATTTAATTTTATCATTATTCAATGTGTGGATTTTCCAAACCCCTGAGCAAGGCAATTATAGCAACAGAAGTTGCTAATGTAGACCAAGCCTTGATTTCCTCCTAGGTTTTTCTATTGAGCTCATCACTATCGTCTCTAAGTGCTTTGCAAACACTTGGTTTAACTTCACAACTCTCCTGTGAAGTGGGGGGATGGTATTATCCCCATTTTATACATGGGGAATGGAGTCAGAGAGATTAAGATCACAAATAGCCACTACTTCTGGTTACCCAATTTAAGGCGGTCTCTACACTGGTGCTTTTGTCGTTAAAACCTGTGTCAATCAGGGGTATGAATAAAACATCCCAAACACCAAAAGTTTTAACGAAATGCACCTGTGTGGACAGTGCTTCATCGGCGCAGGCGCGATGCTCACGCTGACCAAGCTACCGCCCCTCGTTGGGGGTGGCTTTATTTGGTCTCTGGGAGAGCTCTCCCCCGGCGATAAAGAGCAACTACACCGCGCAACTTACAATGGCGTGGCTGCAGCGACACTGGCACAGCCACATCTTTTTAAGGCGTGCAGTGTAGACATAGCCCAAGACTCATAGGACCTGATTTTTCAGAATACTTAGCATTTTGTAGCACTAGCTATTCAGAACAGAGCTCTCATTGATGTCGTCTGCTGCTGTGAGCACTCAGCGCTTCCTGGGGGAGGGATAGCGCAGTGGTTTGAGCATTGGCCTGCTAAACCCAGGATTGTGAGCTCAAGCCTTGAGGGGGCCATTTAGGGAACTGGGGTTAAATAAAATAAATAAATAAAAAACCACTATCTGGGGATTAGTCCTGCTTTGAGCAGGGGGTTGGACTACATGACCTCCTGAGGTCCCTTCCAACCCTGAGATTCTATGATAAATCAAAGTTATTTGCCCAAACAGGAACTCTAGCAGAGGCAGGCATAGAATCCAATTTCTAGGGTGGCAATCAACTATCTCAGCCATGAATCCACCCTCTAGTCCTGCAATCCCCTGCCTTAGTCACCACACACCTAACAAATGAGGCTGGGGTCCTACAGACAGCAGCGTCCTTCACTACACAACCCTGGCTCATTCTCTGACAGTCTCTGTGCCATAGTTCCCCCTCTGTAAAATTTATCTTCACAAGGGTCATCATGATACACTGAAGATTAGGAGGTGCTCATATGTGACAGTAAGGGGAGGAGGCATATAAACACTTAAGATAGATAATTGGCAAGAGGAGTCCAAGGAAACAGTCGGGAGATGCAGCACATGAGGTAAAATGTAGGCAGGACAGCGCCATATAGAACCTCAAAGGACAAAGAAGCTAAACTTAATTCACACAGGAAGCCAGTGAACGAACTCAAAGAGCGTAAGGGACCATGTGTATGTCAGAGTAGCAGGAGAGGACGATAAGTTTCAGCTGCCGTTTTAGGAGAAGGGGGAAGCACAGAGACAGGAAAAGATGCTACTGCAATAGTCAAGGTAAGATATGCCCAAGGCCTCATTATGCGATCCTTTAGCTTAGGCTCATTTTATAGGCAACATCTAGAGAAATACCACATACCAGAATGTTCTCTGTAGGAAAAAAAAAAAAAACCCCACCTGCATTCTAAAGAAAGCTCTGGTATTTTTACTTACAATTATTTGACAGTTTCACGATCTATACACTCAGACTAGGCAATCTGGTTTCATGGCATGTCAAATGATCGGTGACATTACAAATTAAGACAGCTTGAATGATAAGCAAAAAGCTAGTTTTCCATGTGTAACTTATTTAATCTAAGAGCTATTAGAAAAGAGAAAATGGAAGGAAAAGAAAAGGTAAAAATAAAGAAGGGAAAGGAAGCTGAAGGAACGAATGCTGCTGCAGTAAGTAAGAGGAGTTCATTATTGATAGAGTCTAAAAATGAATCCCCAGTTCTCTCCCACTGGTCTGCATTTGGTGTAATCTTACCTATTGGGTAAATCTTGCTTGCCAGGGCCTCAGTTTCAGACATCAGGACTGAGATAATGGCCATAAAGTGGTTTTTGGGGCGCTTCCCGACTAGTCTGAAAGCTAGAGTCACAAGAAGGAACCACAAAGCTGATTAATAAACATTTCCAGGCCCTCTATCAAACATGACAAACTGCTACATGGAGCCTGGACCGAAGAACAGTGGGCCTGGATGTTCTTTGCTAACTTCCTTTGTTGCTGTGTCTTTGAGCCTTGGAAGGGCCAAGTTGGACCTAGCTATGCAATCAAAAAAATGCCTTTATCATCAGAAAGAATCCCTAGCTCTATGCAGGCAAAATTCTATGGGCAAGATCAGTGCGGAAAGAATTGATTTTCACCATTTCAGGTTTACTATTCATAATGTACTATTATGCGATCAGTTACTTGATCTATACTACACTGCAAATAGCACCTGCAAAAAGCAAACCTAGGAAATGATTGGGGAAACAGAGCCCTTCAGCTCTAGGAAATTCCCATCTAACATCCAGCTAATGCGTTTCAGTCCATTCCTCTTCCTTTATTTCCTTTCATGCAACTCTCAGTAAAGGCTTGGTTACAACCGTCACAGCGCAGTGTTCCCTAGGGGCTTGACTATGCGCTTGGTGGAAGCACAATGGAGTCGCACGGCCCTACAGGGAGCATCAGGAGACATTCTGTCTCAGGAAAGCACGCCACTTCCTAAAAGGCTTGGGCACGCAGAGGCAGAGCACCCATGGCATACAGATCACTACCTTGCATGCGGCTGGCCAGATCCATGGGTCAAGTCTATGACAGATACTGATCCACAGTCCAGCTGCCTTTGGGTGCCCTTGGGGAGTAAGACTTCTCTGCCCCGGCACTAGAGGAGCACACGGACTGACATTCTATCTAGCCCTGACTCAGGCCATGCACACTGGGAAAGGCTCCTTTCGTGCTCTCCCTCTGCCCACTCTTAGCAACCACCTAGGAGGCAGGCAGAATTTTACCTTGGAATTTAACAGTCATGCTTCCGTACAAATGAGCTATCCCAGGCAATATTGGTTAACACTATGAATTTACACACACACACACACACCTACCTTAAAACTCTGGTCCCACAGTTAAAAGTTCCAACTCCCCTATTTCCAAATTTCACAACTGACTCAATTCTTCACTAAGATCACAGAAATCCATTTCTTTTATTTAAAAAAAAAGTATATA